ATTGTTTTCCACGGAAGCGTCGTCCAGACGTAGTTCTGCCTGGCCGTATCGGCGAAAGCTTCAGGTGGCCTATGGCTTATCGAAATCCTTCAAGGATATTCTAAGACTACGCAGCCGTAAAAGCAGCAAAAGGTGCACCTGAGCCGACACGGGCGGCATCCGGAGCGTCACGTCTGCTCTCTGGCACACATGACACATGGCACATCAGCGTGTGGAGGCTAACCTCGAAATGGACATATCTTTGACATGCCCCAAAAATGCTTAGCTGAAGCGAGCTGATCGTGTCGATTTCCACTCACTCAGCGGGTGCACCAAGAAGCGCTCTTCGCTTCTTCGCAGACAAAAGAGCTCCGTCAAGCCGTAGTCTCCAGGTTCCTTGACTTAAGAACTTCTTCAGCACATCCTGCTTCTGAATCTTCGTCAAGCCATCGGCGAGCTGGTGGTCCGAGTCCACCCATTGAAGCACCGTCCCTTGTTGCTCCACATGTTGCGAAAGGGCTTGCATCTCGAGGGCGGTGTACTTGTCCTTCATGCTGTAGCCGGAGGATGCAATTGAGCCTTTCTCGAGAGCATCAAATAGTGCTCGGGCATCGGTGATCAGGACCGCCGGGACTTTTGCCACCGTGGGCGCTGTGTTCTCCAGGCTCACCTCGTGCCCGAGAAGCTCTGACCAAGTCAGACGAGTGAACATCACCTCCTGCTCGAGATCCGCCAGGGCTTGCGTCTCCGCGGCAAGGGAAGGTCTTGCGACTCGTTGCAGACGTCCACTCTTCCAGCCCACAACGTTCACACGTCCGCTTCCTCGCTCCACATCTTCAGGGCGCATCAGTCCATAGATATGCCCGCCTGTCGACGACCCGTCAGGGCGGTTCGCGACCGCAGCATCGGACCAGCCGACAACCACGAGGGACTCCGCGGGGGCGTTCAGCTGGTTGACATTCACGCTGAGATGTCGCCCTGCATGAATTTCCCGGACCAACTTATTGGTCATATCGATGTTGGAGACGTCCTTGGTGGCCAGGTGGGACTGCAAGTAGCTCAGCTTGGCCGCATGATGCGGCGCAGTTTGAGTGACGCGCCATTGGATTGCTCCATGTACCGCACGAAGTTGCGAAAGCTCATCTTCTCGAAGAGGGCCGTCTTCGTTCTTAGGCCGTGCAGTCACCTGCGAAATATTTGCACAGTACTCTTCATGGTTGAGGAGAATGGAGTCGTCGTCGTAGAGCTGTTGGAGACCAACGCCACAGTGAGTGAAGCTGTCGGTTTCCCAGGGGGCCCATTGGTAGGAACCATGCAGCTTATGCACAAACTCCACCCATTCCTTCTTAGCCTCGTCACCAGCGAGCAGGATGTCGTCGACGTGAATTCCAAGCACGCCTATCACCGTTGAGCCATCTTCGGAGAAAACTCTCCATAGACATGGGTCTGTCTTACATACCCGGGCTCCCAACTTCCGAAGCGTAGTGCTCAAGTCGACGTACCACTCACGAGGGGCCGAAGTCAGGCCGTATGCTGAACCCAGCAGCTCGAGCATCTGGTGTTGAGGAATTCGAAAAGCTTCTGCTAACTCTGGCAGGGGCTTTGCAAACAAAGGATGCACTCGATCTTGAGCCTTGGCCTGGAGGAAGGCTGTGCGTACATCGCCTGCCATAATCCGCCATCGTCTGGATGAAGCCAGGTTGAGCAGCAACATCTTGGAGGTCCTCGTCAATGCCGGGCTGGAAGTATCTCTTTCCAACAACGAAGGATCGGAAAATCCAAGCACCACTATGCGAGCCTTCGCCTTGATTTTGGAGGAGTCTTCCGGAACGGCCTTGAAGGTGTAGACCCATCTCATCTTCAGGGCCTCGTCAGGAGCCACCGGAATGTTGGCGGCCCTTGCAACCTTGCTGCCAACCCATGATTGAACCTCCGCAGCTTTGGCCACATCCATGGCCTTCTTCTGCTCCTCGTTCAGCTTATGGTAGGAAATCTCCACGCCTTTCTGAACACTCTTTGCCAAAAACTTTGCGGGGTTCTTGAGGATCTTCTTCCAGGCCTTCGCATCCTCGGGAACATCGATGATGGCTGAGTACAGGGTGTTGTCATCTCCGCCAACGGGAGTGGTCATAAGAGCACTTTCTCCACGTTGAACATGCCATGGGCGCTCTCGTCTTTCATCTGCTACTCGTTGTTCTCGGAAGGCTTGTCCACTCGGGGGAGGTTCTCGGCGCTCGACTGGAAGTCCTGCGGGGAGATAGGTGACGTCATGAAGAAGCCTCTCCACATCCAGCTCGTCATCCAGCCCTTCAAGCTCGTTGCTCGGCTCGAGGTCGCGCTTCCGAGCTCGTTCTTGGTCATGAGGAACCATCTCCTCATCAGACAGGGAATCTCGGACATGCCGCGGTTCAGAAGGTGGATCCGGACCCCGCGTTGGTGCCCGAGCAGGCACCTGCCGTTTCAACTTCTTCGACTCACCCCAGCGTCGCTTTGGAGGGCGAGACTCATCGTCATAAGTCCCCTTGGCCATTAACTTCTGCAGAGAAGTGAAAGTCCACGGCATCGACGCGATCTCAGTCGCTTCAGCAATCAGCCTTTCTTGCTCTGACGCATGCCTCAACTGACTCATGTGGAACTTCTTGATCCTGCCTCCGGAGACTGCCCACACATACGCGGACGGTCGTCTGCTCCCAGCTTCCGCCTTCGTTTCACAGGCTAGCACCCTTGCTGGCCCAAACCACCGGGCGATCTTCATCCTCGGGTAGTCCAGCTTTGGCGTTCGCCACGGTATCCGCGGGATGCTTGTACCTTCTAAAGAAGACCAGGTCGCCGGGGAGGAACTGAGTGACCATCCGGGGGCGCGAGTTCTTTGCGCGAGTAGCGGCTTCTCGGTGTCGATGCTCCAAGAAGGCTTTCTCTGCTTCGATACGTAGACTCTGGGAGCTCCAGGGAGTAGAAGGACTGGCCGCGGAGATCTCGTCCAACGAGGTTTCATGTAGTCGGAAGCCAGGGGTCCAATCGCGTCCAAGTGCCCATTGCAGAGGGGCAAAACCATGCACCTTGGCCAAGCTGTTGTGAGCCGCCGTCATAGCCAAGGCCGCCTGTTTCGGAGAGGAGGGGCAGCTTCGTAGAAAGCTTTCCATTCGTCCACGGAGAACTCCTATGCTTCGCTCCACTTCAGCGATGCTTTCGTGGTGCTCCGCAGGCGCCGCCACAAGCTCTATATCCCCTTGCCAAAGCACTCTTCTCGTAGCAGCTTGCCGCGGTGTGACCCCTCGAGGTCCATCTTCAGTACTTCCGGGTATCCGAAGTACTGGTACCAGCCCTCTTCCAAGATGGCCATGAGCTCCTGCGTGGTGAGGTTTCTCCCTTGGTCTTCATGAGTGACATACGCTTCACGAACCACAGCATATCCGGAAGCTTCGTCAACCAAGAGCACAAAGTGGTGGTAGTGGTTCTTGTACTTGAAGTCAAAGCCATCCACTTGGAGACATGACCATAGTTTATCGCATCTCTCCAGGTTCACCACTGGGCTGGGTAGTTTGATCCGTCCCTCCAAGCACTCGTCACACCGAAGTTGGGATGCCGCGGCAATGATCTTTGGGTCTGCGTTCCGTGCCTCCAGATTCTTAATCAACAGCTTGTTCGAAGGATGACCAAATCGTCGGTGTAGCTGTCGCACTGACTCCATGAGTTTGCTGAGCTCCTCTGTGGTCATCGTATTCAGGACAGTAGTGTCTACGGCAAGAACATGTCCACCTTCGACCTGAGACCAAAGCACTTCATCTAAACGACTGGAAAGACACTGCGCCATCTGCTGCCATATACTCTGACAAAGGACCCCAGAAGTGGTAGTAGAGACGGTATTCCGGCTCATCACATCGGTTACTGGTGCTGACGCACCTTCGATAGGTGGTCGTAGGACCCCAGAAGTGGTAGTAGAGAGGGTATTCCGGATCATCACATCGGTTGCCACAACTCTCACGCCGGATGTCCAAAGGAAGGGGTCTCCTCGTCCATGGACTCGCCAGAAGTGCCTGGCTTCGCTTAGCTCCAACACTCTTGACTGTGAAGACATCACCCAGATTAGGCGCGCTCCTTTCTGAAGTGCTCTCTGAGAAAGAAGGAGCAGGTGTCGGATCAACTTCAGATATCTCTTGGCTCGTGTACCCAGCTTCCAGTCTCCTTCAACCTCATGCGAAAAGAGACTCTCCGGTCCTCGTGGTACGTGAACTACCACCCATCTGTAGGAAGACGAGCTCATCAACTCTTGCGCCTTCACATAACCGGCATGGGTTCCCAAGTCGCAACCCTCATAGAAGCCGGCATAGGTGGTCCGGAGTCCGGCGTCTTGCATGTCATTCTCACATCGATCTTGCTCTATCCAAGGGTCACAGAGATGAAGAACGTCTTGCTGGACCGGACTCGGGTACTCCAGAAAGATGTCCTCGAGACTGTCATGAATGGCCAGGAGGGGTTCGGTGATAGACTCCTGGTCCTCAGGAAGCAGGGGCTGCACCAGATCCTTCGTCTCCTCATTGTCTTCGATCGTTGCCAGCATGTCTTGCTGGATCGCGGGTCGTGTGATCGGCTCAGAAGGAAGAGGGAAGCCCACACGCCTCAGAAAAGCTCGGTCATCCACATCCAAACTCTTGATAGACCGGGCCGTGAACGAAGCCATCAACCATCTCCTTCCCGTCCAAGCTCGGGTTTTGTGGTAGGTCTTTGGGTGAAAGATGACAGAGTTTCTCCACGAAGACAGTAAACGTCCAGGGGCTCGTTCGCCATTGTTCTTCGTCTCCCATTGAAGTCTCGACGGCATTGGGCCATCATCTTCCAACATCTCCAACCATAGCTCTCCTCCAGAGAAAGATCCGAGGGTGCACGTCATATTCCACGACTTGTCATAGTTATGAGCATCGATGTGGATCTTGGACTTGACGTTGAGGCCGATGGTGAAGGAGGTCCAGGTAACCTTCGACTCGGGCCGCCACTGCTTCAAGCATCCGTTCAAGTACTGGCAGGTCAGCGGCATTTGTCTGGTGGCCCGCGTCAAGCCAGCCATGTTCCCGTGCGCAAAGAGACCAAAGCTAATCGAGAAGGACGTGGGGGAAGTTCCGGTAGAGGCCGTCCGGGTAGGCGTCCAAGTCCTGGGGTTCATATTCTCGAGGAACGCCTCGGCCGTGTCATAGTCGAACTTCGAGTCCCTTAAGAGCTCCTTCGCCAGCGCCTCGATCTCGTCCTCGTTGGTGAAGGTCACGTGGAAGCCTGTGTCCCCTCCTTCGAAGCTCGGGAGTCGTACTCCAGGTTCTCGGGGATCACCTCGTTCGGGCGAGAGGCTTTTCGTCCAGGATGAGCCGGAATCTCGGCATCCGGGATCACGATGGTTCCTGGGGATATCGGGCTGCTGGAAGTCGACTCCTCCTCTGAGCGGTTGTTCTTGGGCTCCGAAGGTGGTGGCTTGCTCTTGGCCTTGGAACCAGCTCCCTTCCGCATCGACTGAATGCGTTCCAGTTGGTTCCTCGCCGACACCTCCGCCGCGGCCAAAGAGATGTCTCGGTCCACCGGGAACTCGGCATCCGTGGCATTCTCGGGGATGTCCTGGTGGGCCTCGGTCACATCCGCTGTCAGAGGCCCCGCCTTGCGGTAGCGAGCATGTGCTCCTGCTCGGGGAACATAGCTCAACCTTAGCTTGCACCGGCGACACGTCGTCCATTGTCCATGTTGGTTGCTCCCCGATAGAGAGCCCTTCCCTGGTAGGTCCGGTGCATGAGCTCCAAGGCAAGGCGGACCCTTGCATCGAGGGTCTCGAGGATCTGGGCCTTCGGCTCGATGAACATCGAGCGGCGGTGCTGTCGTAGGCTTCTTCTTGGCCTTGCTCTTGGCCTCGGACTTCGGGTAGTTGGTCGCTGAGGGATACCCCCCCTGCGGGTCCACCGACGAGGCCATGCAAGGAGACCAAGGTCACAAGGGCACCGAGGGAGTTCATTGACGCACTCGGGCCAGAAGTCTTCGGCGCAGACATGTAGTTCACATCACCATGCTTCTCACTTCCATCCTGATGCT